AGCTATATAATTAATAGGTAATGGGATTTCATGCTCCCCAATCAAGAAATAATTAGACTCAAAAAATTCCTCTGACTGCCAAATTGCACTCGGCCTACGGCCTCATCCAATTTTGTCAGTACTCGGAATTTTCCTCATCCAATTATTTCTTATGATTATGATATAGCGTAAACGTTTTAATAAAGTCAAATTGGTCAATTTCTCTGTTTTTTAGAATTATGCAGAAAAACTGTTTAAAAAAAATGCATTTATGTATTTCAAACATATCATTTCTCGTTACTCTTAAATCAACGAAATTACAATTTATGTATATACGAACACGTAACGAAAGACATTGAAGTCATTTTAGAGTTTTTTCGGGTGAAAGAAGTTAAGATTTGTGGCATCCAGCAAACCCTACTCGAAGCGTGGTATCGACATTTTTTTTTTWAATGAAAAAAGGAATTATACATTTGGAAGGATTAGGAAACTCAATTTGGCTTTGAATAACACAAATTGAAAGAGGAATACAAAAATCTAAACTCAACTCAAGCTTGTGACAGTGTGTTTATAGCCGAACGCCGACCAAAATTGAAAGACTATTTAGAGTACAAAAATTTTAAAGTGTATATCAAGGAAAAAATTTTATTATCAAAATCACTTATATTTGAACAGTGTAGTAGAATGGTTGCAGTATTTTTGTATGGGGTCTTCTCTTTTCGGAGATACAAAGACTTGAAATATCAATATGCAAATGAGATGACGTAAATTCAAGAATGGGTTACATTTTGCAGTGTGATTTACGACAAGTGTTCTGAAGTGAAATAACCTAAAAGTGTATAAAGCCATATATTTCAGTTATAAAGATAATTTACAAATGAAAAAACAGCAGTACTTTCCACAACAGCATTTTTGTATAATAAATTAGTCTTGAATTTACGTCATCTCATTTGCATATTGATATTTCAAATGTTTATATCTCCTAAAAGAAAATTTTACATACAAAAATACTGCAACCATACTAGTACACTGTTCACATATAAGTGATTTTGAAAGAAAAAAATCCTTGCTTATGACAGTGTGTTTACAGCTAAATACCGATCAAAATTGAGACGAAATTTAAAACTAAAGACAATTTTTGCTTTTTAATATAGGTTTAGAAATTAAGAAAACTGAAGAGATAAGAGATACATCGCATTTTGAGTTCAGTTATCGTCATAGGTGAGTAGTTATAAACAGTTTTTACATAGATAGATGCAAATAAGTTTTGAAATCTAAATGTTTTGGTTTACAAAGCCGGGCACTTTTCATTACTATCAGGCTATAACTTGAAAACATTAGGTATAATAGACTTTTTCTTAACTTCGCTTGGGTAACCATGAATCGAAAAGATGATATATTTTCAAGTCGAGGTGAGCACGATAAATGCACGCGATCTCTAATCATATGTATTTCTAATTTGTCGTTTATTCTTAATTTTCCAGAATGAATCAAACCAACTCGACCGGGACTGTATTCAACTACTCGTCTGTATCAGGAGGTTGTATCACGGGTATCGTCACCAAGTCCACCCTTACGGGACTAACGTGTGCATACATCATGGTTTTCATCGCTGCATTGATCGGTAACTCCGTGGTGTTCTACGTCATCAAGAGTAAAAACAAACCCACAATAACGTTTAACTATTTTATCCTAAGTATGGCTACTGCTGACCTTTTGCAGACGTTCATATCTATCCCAACAGCCGTTTCGTACCTCTATGTTGGAACCTTGTGGTTTTCAGGTTCCTTTGCAATATTTTTATGTAAGTTTGTCCATTATGGTTCAGTGGTGTCGATAGTCGCTTCCATTACCACCCTGTCAGTCACAACTATCGAGCGCTTCCTGGCCGCCAGGCTGTTGCTAAGGAAACCAGTTACCATCGCAACAGTACGACTTTTGATCGCAGCTGTTTGGATTTACTCGTTGTTGATTTCACTTTACGAGCTTGTTCAATTTACCGTTGTGGACTATGGGCCCGCTGGTCTTCACTGCTTTCCACAAGTAACGGAAACGATATTACGAATCCAGTTGACATTGAAAGTGATCATCCTTTACGCGCTGCCACTTCTACTCATGGCAACCTTGTATACCAACATCATATGGTTGTTATGGAAACACGGCAGTTTCACCAGCTTGAACACCGAACATTATCGTAACATTCAACGGCGCAAGAGAAACCTGATTAAGAAACTGATATTCATCACGGTGGTATTTGCAGTTTGTTGGCTTCCTGTACACGTCATGCATATTGCCGGTGCGTTTTACTATGAAACATACACGTGTATCCCAGAGCACTGGAAACTGCTGTTCTTTTGGATGGCACACTCTAACTGCGCGATCAACCCCTTTTTGTATCTACTGCTGACCAGGAATGCGCGGACGCTGTTCAGATCGACTGTTCACGTCGCAAGGCATGATGGGAAAGATAACGGAAGCAAGGGAGCTGGGAACCGTAAACTGTGGGTGTTCCAAAGATTCCAGAGCGACACTCGGTCGTTAAYAGCCTGTATAACACCTCAGAGTACAGATTCTCAGGTAGAAGGAAAAGAAAATGAAATGTACGAACTGCACAAGCGTTCACCGTTCAAGTAAACATAAGGCAATCACGTGACACACGAAAACCYTTACTCATATTGACCTCAACACTGATATCAGACCTTCTCGTATAAGTCACCGTTCAAGTGAACATAAGGCAATCACATGACACACGAAAACCTTTACTCATATTGACCTCAACACTGATATCAGACCTTCTCGTATAAGTCACCGTTCAAGTGAACATAAGGCAATCACATGACACACGAAAACCTTTACTCATATTGACCTCAACACTGGTAATAGTTGGTAACAGGGAAAGACAATGAAATGAATGTACAAGCTGCACAAACGGTCACTCTTCAAGGAACTGTCTGGTGATCACGTGAAAAATAAACGAAAACTCAAATCTTTAAGATAAAACTCGTAAAAAAACAACATTAACTTGGGTGCTTACCATTCGAACCAATCCATCCGGTTGGAAATTCATTCGCTAATGGTAAGAAAAGAGAAACCTTGACTTTCGAAAAATGATACACGCGTGTACCAGAAGAACCGAGCAATTACTGGTATCGAACGCAACACTGATATCACACCTGGTTGGTCACCCTGCATGTAAACGTGGTGAGCACGTGGCACGATAACCATCGTTAAAAAACCTTTACTGATATCGAACGCAACGTTGGTATCAGACCTATGTGTAGGTCAACCTTTAAGTAAACATCAAGATCACGTGATATCATCGTTAAAAACCATTACTGGTATCGAACGCAACATTGGTATCAGACCTTCTTGTAGGTCAACCTAGAAGTAAACATCTAAAGATCACGTGGCACGATCGTTAAAAACCATTACTGGTATTGGCCGCAACATTAATATTAGAACTCCTTTATAGGTCAACCTTAAATTAAACATCTAAAGATCACGTGACACCATTCTTAAAAACCATTACTGGTGTTGACCGTAGCTTGGTATCGGAACTTCTTGTAGGTGCCAAAGAGCACAAGAAAATATAGCAAATGTACAAAAAATAAGTTATTAGTTTAGCAATG